TTGTCGGCGCGCTTTTGTCGGCGCGCTTTAGGGCTAATTAGTCGCTCATTCGTCGTGCGGTTTTGTCACCACGGTTTTGTCACCGCGGTTTAGTCAGGCGCGCTTTTGTTGTGCGCGCATTTGTGGTGGAACCGAAGCCCTTGAATGTTGATTTACAATCATGATCTAGCTGATATTCATATTGACTAAAAATTCAGCATTAGTTGGAGGGAGACAGATTGTTCACTTCTGCTGTAAGAATAGTCAATATTGGTACTAGTAGAGAATAAGATTTAGTTAGGTCTTTAGTTTAATCCAGCTGTGGCTCCTCCCATGGACCACTATCTTATTAATAAAAAGCTATAGCGTGGAGAACATTCTCTCCTGGTAAGGAGACAGCTGTACTGATAGTAGAAAGCTCATATCAGGAAAAAGCAGACAGAAGAGAGTACCAAATGGTAAGAGGTGCTTTGAGAAGGCTGTGTATCCTACAAGTTCATACAATCATGAGAATTCGTCTTATTCAGTGGGGAAAAAATCCTTGTGCTAAACAGAAGGAGCAGCATTCTTAATGCTTCTGTAATCGTGTGTTCATCAATCTTTGAAAAGTCTATGGCACTAGAAACCTGATATTGGATTGCTCCATGTGACAAATATGACTGGAGATCAAGCAATCTGTGTTCAAGACGTGTTTTCTGGATGTGGAAATCGTGAGAAAGGGGCAGTTGCTGATAATTGTTTATCTTGGCTCTGCCTTTTTATGTTAGGCTGTAGAAGTGTATTGCCGCCTGTATTGTTCAGCTGTAGAAGTGAATATACTGATGCGGTCTGGGATTCCACATTGGGTAAACTGCAAACAGATAAAAGGGTGATGAGCTCAGTATATGATCCCTGCATTTGCTTTGATGTTTCCTAGAGAAATTTGGAGGGGTCAGCAGTCCACTCTATCCAGTCTTCTGGAAAGGCTGCTGATGTCGCATCTGATTTCTTTCCCTTAAATGCTCCTTTTGCCAGATGCAGCAGAGTGCTAAAGGACTGAATTAACAATTACGAATGGGCTGGAGAAAGATTACTCAGTTCTTAGGCCCGGTTTGCAGGAGAGAGTCATTTGCCAAAACCAATATGAGTTTATGCCAGGGTCGCTAATCTAATTTGTATCATTTCTTGGAATCTACAGTGTTCCAAACTGGCATGGTGGGTTATCCTGAAGCACTGACAGATCCTTCCTATAAATCCCAGATCTTGGTACTGACTTACCCACTGATTGGGAATTATGGTGTTCCTCCAGATGAGTTGGATGAGTACGGTCTCAGCCGGGTAAGTATAGCATTGGCAGAAAGAAACCCATTCTTACATGTTGCTGTAAACATTTCAGATGGCTTAGCACTGAGATTTGATTTCTGGATGCCTGGAGACAAAGTGCCCCAAATTATCCTGGCCCAGTTGAAGAGTTCTAGGAATTTCTGGCATAGATAACCTGGTGTCCACATACTTCATCTGCTCTGTCAGTGCAATGCTATAAAATTGACAGACCGCATATCTGAAGTTGGGTTTGTCTGCATCTTTGATGTAGAGATTTAATTTGATTCATATGTGATTAGATTGTTTTCCAGAATAATCCAGTGTCCTGAATTACATTGATGATTCATACCAAATAATCAAAACACATTGGATATATTTGAAATGATTGGATGAAATGAACTGGATTAGAAGTTCAGGCACTTCTAATCTGCTTGATGAATTAGATCAGTTTTTAATCTTATAACTATAACTATATCCCCGAAATTGTGGAGAATTTCTGAGATCAGGAGAGAAACATATTTTTTCTTTCTGGGAATGACAACTGAAAGTAAGCTGCAGAATTTCTTCTAATGAGTTTGTTGACACAAATTATGGATATAATGTACCTTTTTTCAAATAAATAAACAAAATGTTTTGGGGACTTGAGTAGAAGGGAATTAGAAAATTCTTGTGATGACGAGGTATGTTTCTTTATTAACTCTCTGCTTCCCCTCCTCCAGTGGTTTGAATCTAATGGCATTCATGTAGCCGCACTGATTGTGGATGAATGCTCTCGAAATCCCAGCCACTGGAGTGCTACACGCTCACTGGATCATTGGCTGAAAGAAAAGGGGATTCCTGGTTTGGAAGGTAAGACCTGTGCTAGGGTTTGTCTCTAGAGGACCCAGTGAAATGCAAGTTGAGTTGCAATCTTTCTCTTATGTGCTCCTTGAAAGCCATAATGAGGTGCCACAAGACTCAGTCCTTTCTCCTGCTTCCCATTTAATATCTACATGAAGCTATTGGGTGGGTGATCTGACGGTTTGGGGTAAGGTATCACCAGTATGATATCCAGATTTACAATTTTATCCCAAGCCACCTGAATGGATGCCATGGATATCCTATTCCAGTGCCTGGAGACTGTGAGGTCAGGATGGGGCACCGCAGGCTTTGGCTTAACCAAGCAAGACTGTTGTGACTTTGGAAATTTGGATCTTTCAGTTTGAGGGATTTTCCATCTTTAGTTCTGAATGGGATAGCATTGTCTGAGAAAAACCTGATCTGTGTGGGTGAGTGTCTTCTTGGACTCATGGCTCCTGCTGAAAGAGCTGGTGGCATCTGTGGCTATGAGGGCCTTTGCATATGTTTGAGTGCTATATTGGACCAGGAGTCCCTGCTCATTGTCACTCATGCGCTTGTGACTTCCCATCTGGATTCCTGCAGCACAGTTTAACTGCAGTTGCCCTTCAACAGGATTTGGAAGCTTCAACAGGTGCTAAGTGCATCAACATAGGTAGTAAATGATGTTATTTACTCAGCACATGTAATAACACTACTCCATGAACTGTATTCATTGCCAGTGTGCATTTGATGCAACTCAGGGTGCTAGTTGTCGCCTTTAAAGGCCTTTATAACTTTGGGCTGGATCACCCTCTTCTTTTCCACTTGTTTCCATCCACCTAATCAGATATGGCAGGATGGGCATGCTCTGGGTCCTTTCAGCCAAGGAATGCTGGCTGGCAGTCATACAAATTGAGTGAATGAGTGAGTGAATGAATGAATGAACAAACTCTTCATTATGCAATCACTGATTACATTCCTATAACATTTTCACTCGATTACTGGATCTCTCGCTTTTTTTAAGTTTACGCACTGCACTGAACCATGAACTAAAGAAATAGGTCTCCCACAATGAATTTTCAAGGGAGTTAGAAAAGATGACACTATTCAGTAAATCCAGGAATCTAAAATTCTGTTTTGTGAATAATTGCAAACTTAACGTAAGAGTCCAACAATGGACGGACTGATTCTTTTAGCCATTTGTTCCTTGGCTGGAGGACTGCTGGCATTTGGCAGGCTCATAGCTTTTAGAGCTGAATGCAGTTTGAGAAATCCTCCTCCTCCTAGTTCATTGAATTAGAGAGTCTTCTGTCTGAATTGCTTCCAGATGTTATCTGGATGTTCTGGACTTAAAATCGCTTCAGTTCCTTTTGCGTAGGCAACAACTTCTGCACAAATCCATTAAGATAATCTTCCATTCTCTCTACATGGACCAAAATTTATCTCTGCAATAGCCATCTGGGGAAGTAGGTTAGTCTGAGAGTAAGATAAGTTGTAGGAGAAGTTGTGTTCACTCTATACAGGTGGTCTTGACTTATGACCACAATTGGGCCAAAAATTTATGTTACTAAGTGAGACATTTAACTGAATTTTGTCCCACTTTATGACTTTTCTTGCCACAGTTGTTAAGTGAATCACCACAAGTGTTAAGCTATGACATGGTTATTAAGTGAACCAGGCTTCCCTATTGAGATTACTCATAAGAAGGTCGCAAAAGGTGATCACATGACTTCAGAACGCTGCAACCCTCATAAATAGGAATCACATGGGAAAAATGGTCCTGTGACCTTGTTCAATGCTGTTGTCACTATATAGGCTGTTGGGTGTTGAGGACTACCTGTACTAGCAAAAATCAGAAGCGGTACAATAGCACCTTTTCTGATTCCCAACATTTATTAAAAGACATAAGCTTTTCTGACATTTCCCATCAGAAGGGGCTTGGGTGATGTAGGATTTAAATTGGGAGGAGAAGACAAATTGTCTCTATGGATGCAGGTTACATGTGAGATAGATTACCTGCATCCATGAAGCCAGTCTGCAATGAAGGGAGATGCAGCTCGTGAAAAGCTTATGGCTTTTAATAACATCTGTTATTTGGAAAAGGTACTGTAGGTTTCTTCCTGATTTTTTTTTATTGTTTATTTTTTGCTGGCAATAAGTGTAAGTGACCCAAAGTTCACCACTGAACTCCACAACTAAGTGAAGACTTAAATTGGATCACCTAGCTTGACATCTAACAGATTAGATAGAACACTTGACCACATAATTGTATTTCATCAGAAATAAGGTAAAGGTAAAGGTTAAGGTTCCCCTCACATGTACGTGCTAGTCATTCCCGACTCTTAAGAGGCAGTGCTCATCTCCTTTTTAAAGCCAAAGAGCCAGTGCTGTCCAAAGACGTCTCCGTGGTCATGTGGCCAGCATGGTTACATGCCAAAAGTGCATGAAACGATGTTACTTTCCCACCAAAGGTGGTTCCTATTTTTCTACTTGCATTTTTACGTGCTTTCGAACTGCTAGGCTGGGACAAGTTACAGGAACTCACTCCGTTACCCGGGCGCTAGGGATTTGAACCACTGAACTGCCAATCTTTCTGATCGACAAGCTCAACATCTTAGCCACTGAGCCAACGCATGCCTTTACCTTCATCAGGAATACAGGGAAGCAAAATTGTGACAGAATAAACATTATATGATAACTGTCAAAATATGAAGATAGTAGCTTGTTTCAAAGTTTCCAAGGTTGTCTCAACATAGATAGAAATGGAGATTATCCTGTCTGTGAATTCTCCCGGTGATCACTGAACCACATACTCTACTGAGATAGTCCATCCTTTCTAATAGTTCAATTCTCCTGCAGGAATTGATACGCGAGCACTAACCAAGCGGATCCGGGAAAAAGGGAGTTTGCTGGGAAAACTGATACCAGAGGGCCTCCATAGTTCACAGCAGCCATTTGATGATCCAAACACAAGGAATTTGGTGAAGGAAGTCTCACTAAAAGTAGGTTGGAAGAAGAGGGTTGGAAGGGAAGAGACAACTTGGGCTAAGCAAATTGGAGGTGGCAAGCAGGCAGCTGCGGATATACTGCATAACATTCAGAATAGGAGAGGGGTTTATTTAACTATTGCATTTGGTTTGGAAAAAATAAAAGTCCACTTAACATCTTATTTATAATGAATGATTTTGAGAAGCAGTTTTCTGGTTCAGGGCTCCCTCCTCCTGCCTAAAAATATGCACTCCATAGCTTCTAAGTGGCTCAATTCTTTTATAGAACTTTCCTGCACCAAAAAGATGTCATTTTATAACGTTTCTATAAACACACAAATTATATGGCATAACATTGGGTGATTCACAACAGTAATGAAAGCTATAAAAAGCATGCAAACCAATCAATTTTGTTATTCTGCTCTGTACCAAGACAGGGATAGCTGGGCAGGAATTTAAATATAAATTATTTGGGGAAAAGCCATGCATGGCTGGAAGAGCTTAGGGAGGGAAAGGGTTGTTTTAAAAGTTTACAATCTTCCCACTCATCACCAACACTTTGCTGCTTCTATACCATTAACAGTAGAGATATAGGATTAAGAGTGATTTATTGGCCACAATGCCATAAACTTCAGCATACCTACTTTATCCCTTATGACTCCCTAGGAACCCCGCTTGTTCAACCCCGGTGGGTCTGTGAGAATCACAGCAATTGACTGTGGCCTGAAATACAACCAGATCCGATGCCTGTGTGCTCGCGGGGCAGCTGTTACTGTGGTGCCCTGGGATCATCCTCTGGATAGTACAGGTAAGCATAACTGAGTGGTGAGTATGGAATTCACAGCTCCCAGATAGGTGGCTTGTTTCAGCTTGGGAGCAAAGTATGTTCATACTTGTGGAGCCCAAGTGTCTAATATAAGAGGAAAAGTAATCATAGTTAAAGCCATAAAGAGATCCAGTGTGGTCTAGTGGTTAAGGTACTGATGTAGAAACCAGGAGACACTGAGTTCTAGTTTCATCTTATGCGTGAAAGCTAACTGGCTGACTTTGGGCCAAACACGCTCATCCCAACCCACCACACATGGTTGTTATGGTGTGGAAAAAGAGGGAGGAGGAGGAGCGTTAAGTATCACCATCATCGTGAATTACTTATAAAGTAATAAAGGCAGGATAAAAATGAAATAATTAAAGGGATAATGCCACCTGATACCTCATTTCTTCCCCCAGAATTTGATGGCTTGTTTGTTAGCAATGGTCCTGGAGATCCACAATTCTGCCAGGAAACTATTTCCAATCTGCACCGTGTGCTGGAATTGCCAACTCCAAAGCCCATCTTTGGCATCTGCTTGGGTCATCAGCTGCTGGCTCTGGCCATTGGAGCTAAGACTTACAAGATGAAGTAAGTGTTTGTGTGGATATTTGAAATAGCAGGAGCACTCAGGCATATACTGCTCCGTAGTGTTTTACAGCACTCTGAAAGGTTTATAGTATTAGCATATTGCCTCCACAATCTGGGTCCTCATTTTACCGACCTTGGAAGGAGGGAAGGCTGAGTCAACCTTGAGCCTATAGGAATCAAATTGCAGATTGTGGGCAGAGTTAGCCAGCAATATTGTATTCTACCGACTGCCATCAAAGCTCTTAAATAACCAGTAGGTACCTCTTCAATGATGTTGAGCAGTCTAATTCTTCAGTACTATAATAAATGTCAGGTAGTCCTCAACTTATGACTGGTCATTTAACATAAAGCATGTCTGGCTGTTGTAAAATATCGCGCCAGCATGCCTCAGTCACATGATCACACATATAGAGGACCAGACCTCAAATTTATTGAAAACACTGGTATTTGCTAGTGTTTTCCCCTCCAGCAGCATTAAATGGTAGCGAATGCCAGCATTCTGAAAGGCTGAGAATGCTGCCATTTCCTGGCATTTTCCCCTCCAGAGAGACAGAAACAAGGGCATTCAGAAAGGCTCCTGCAGAAATTCCTTGGCAGTCAGGAGGAATAGATCTCAAATCTTGTGAAAATGTTCGCAAACATCATCATTCTCACAATTGTTCTGCCTATCCCTACCATGCCCAAGAGGCCCAGGCCCTCTCCCCAGCAATCATTGAGCAAAGAAGTCATGTGATTGTCACTTATGGCCCACCAGAGGCCAGCAGAGCTGGCAGCAGAGTCGGACAATGAGGAGGTGGAGGAACATGTGCCAGTCCTGGGGGCTGAGGAAAGCTCAGACGAGGGCTCTTGAGTCGGAGGCAGAGGGGGAGCTAGACAGCAGTGAGGCAGAGGAACAGCTGGAGCCTGTTCCCAGTGTGTGCATGCGTAGAGCTGCCAGAAGACAAGATCAACTAAGAAAGCAGGGTCGACAAGAGTAAAGCCACACCTTGGAGGTGATTGGTCCCACCCACAGGAAACAAAAGAGGAATGGACGGAGTGGACTTTTGCAGAAACAATTTGTTCCTTCGATCTTTTCAAGAGTGGAAACTTCTATGACTATAAGAGACTCTGTGCCAAGTGTTGCCTTGCCCTGCATTTGGAAACTAGTTATCTGGCAGCTCTCCAAGCGAGATAAGGTTCATGTTGATAAATAGTCCTCTGAAAGACTGATTGCCAAGCCTTGCTGACTGTGAATGAAAGGAATTCACAATCGTGTAAATAAAAGAGGCTTTTCCGGGACTAAGACTCTGCTTCATGCTTTTTATGGAAGCCTAGGTCAGAACATCACTTAACAATCGCTTCATTCAGCAACTGAGATTCTGGGCCCAGGTGTGGTTGTATATGGAGGACTACCTGTAGCTTGAAACCTTGTTCCCCTTCGAATTCCTCCTCAGGTACGGAAACCGTGGACACAACCAGCCTTGCCTGCATGAGGGATCCCAGCGCTGCTTCATCACATCGCAGAACCATGGCTTTGCAGTAGATCCAGCTAGTTTGCCATCCGGCTGGACTCCTCTCTTTACCAATGCAAATGATCACTCTAACGAGGGACTTGTGCATGAGTCAAAGCCATTTTTCAGGTAAGGGCAAACAAGAGAAAAGGAGGTAAACAAGTGAGTTGGGGCGCCTTTCTTTATTCTGATTTGATGGAGCCACACAGAAGACCTAAGAAGAGCCTTTTGGGATCAGCTCAAGAGTCCATTTCTTCCAGGCTTCTGAATTCAAATAGTAACCAAGCTGGTGCATTCAGGAAGCTCCAAGCATTATGAGGAATGTCATATTGTTTTTCCACTGTCGCATGACAAAATTTGGTATTTAAGGTGTACTGGTTATGATTTGTGTGTGTGTGGTCAAGTTCTTGACTCCTAGAAACTACATGCAGTTTTCAAGGCTATATTTTCAAAAATGGTTTGCTGTTGTCTTTCTATGGCTGAGCGAGAGTGACTGGCCCAAAGACACCCAGCCTGGCAGGACTAGAACTCAGATTTCCCTACTCACCTTAGCACCTTAATCACTAGATCAAAGACAGGAAGTAGCTATCAGATCTAGTTCCCAATAGTAGCCCAGTCTTCCATCAGTTTCTCCAATCTAAAATCGTCTCCCCATCAGATGGCAAAAAAATTCAAGGTTTTTTTATCAGCCAAACATCTTCCTTCATTTAGCATTGTTAAGACTTTGAATTCTCACCTTGGGTTTATAATGTGCACACTTTTGTATGCCTTGCATCACGTCTCCCCTTATCTGCCTTTGTTCTAAATAAACAGCCCCAACTATATAAGTGTTAATACCACTTTATAATGCCTTGGAAAGGCCACACTTGGAATACTTAATCCAGTTTTAGTTGCCACAATGTAAAAAAGATGTTGAGACTCTAGAAAGAGTGCAGAGAAGAGCAACAAAGATGATTAGGAGACTGGAGGCTAAAACATATGAAGAACAATTGCAGGAACTCGGTATGTCTAGTTTAATGAAAAGAAGGACTAGGGGAGACTTGATAGCAGTGTTCCAATATCTCAGGGGCTGCCACAAAGAAGAGGGAGTCAAGCTATTCTCCAAATAGGACAAGAAACAATGGTTGGAAACTAATCAAGGAGAGAAGCAATTTAGGAGAAATTTCCTGACAGTTAGAACAATTAATCAGTGAAACAACTTACCTCCAGAAGTTGGGAATGCTCCAACAGTTGAAGTTTTTAAGAAGATGTTGGATAACCATTTGTCTGAAGTGGTGTAGGGTTTCCTGNTCTCTCTCTCTCATCTATTTATTTATTTATTTGGCAAGCGCCTTCCTTCTACAGCACGTGCCGATCGGGCCTCGCGAGGCTCAGGTAAGCATCGTAAAGGGAATCGGCGGCAGAGGAATCCCACCAAGGCGGAGCCTAGGGGGGTGGGAAACGTGGCCGGCTCGGTTCGTGCTGCGCCGCCCCTTGACAGGTCATTTCCTCCCTTCTTCACCCTCTCGGCTCCGCCTCCCGGTAACGCGCTTTTCATCGCTTCGGCCACATCACCTCCCCCTCGTGCGTCCGGCGCCGGCCGCATCCTCCGCATTATCTCTCTTCCCCCCCCCCTTCCTCCTCCTCCTCCTCCTCTTGTATCCCGGTCTCTGTCGCTCTCTTCCCCCCAGCCCCCCGCATCTCACCGCTGGGAATTCCGAGCCATCCCGCCCGCCCCCCCGTCGTCGTTCTCCACGTGCTAAAAGCGAGCTATGGGCAGCCTAGTGCTGGAGGATGGGACGGTGTTGCGTGGGCGTCCCTTTGGACTCGTGGGGACTCCAGTTGCGGGTGAAGTCGGTGAGTTTCTCTATGCAGGATCAAAGTGGGGGAGAAAGAGAAGGAAAGCTCTTTGTTTGACTGGTCGCACTTGTGCTTTTCCGGCCAAAGGAAGGGTGGAGGTGCCCTCCCCTCCGTCTAGAATGTAGTGGAGGGTCGTCTAGATCGTTATGCCCATTTGCTCAGCAGGCGCCTTTGACCGTTGTTGGATCCCCAAATGTGCCTAAGGCTACTTGTAGAAGGAAGAGTGCCTTTGAAACATGCCCAGACTTGGTAGCACAGCTGTCTGTGATAGATCTGGTAAGAACACATCTGTTCTTGCCTAGTCGGGCCTTTAGACTTTTTCCCGCTTATCACATTGCTGATCTTGGAAATAGATCAGGCCCATTCCCAGTTCAGATAAATTAGAAGTAAGAAGGTATCATCCTGTCTGAGTTCATCATTCTTGCTACTACTCCAGCAGTTCCCAAAGTGTTTTTGAAATATGTTCAGCTGACTTTCAAAAGAGCAAATAAGGAAATAGAATAGAATTCTTTATTAGCCAAGTGTGATTGAACACACAAGGAATATGTCTTTGGTGCATATGCTCTCAGTGTGCATAAGGAGAATAAAATAGAATACATTCATCAAGAATCATAAGATACGACACTTAGTGATAGTCATAGGTTACTAATAAGCAATCCAATTATACTAGGAAACAAATAAAACAATATAAATGTAAAAGATACAAGCAACATTGTTATAGTCATAAGTGGAAAGAGATAGGTGCTAGGAAAGAGATAGGTG